CTCTACATGCTTCAACGTTACAATGAATTTGAAGGTCATAGTTAGGCCTAAATAAAATGTTTTTAATTGTGTACCAGTTTAACGTTGAATATTATTTATGATTTTAACTTTATACACAAGTGCCAAAATACTATAATTATTGTGTATAGTATAGCTAGGATGTTTAGGAAGACTTTCCTGTCGCGCAACTTGGTGATGAAACTTCCTTGCAAACTTATAGAAGCATCATGGATGTCTTGATGTTCATATATTAAAGTTATTGTTGTTCATCCATTAGCAAAATGGAAAGAGCACAGTTTTCCGTTCTTAACCTACCGTTGTAAATGCCTGATCCTCAAAACCAGTTACAGTAGAACGCTTCTTCCGGTTTTGGATGTGTTCATGACTTTTTTTCACTTTTTCATCCAGCTCACCAGTCTCGACTTGTTTCATGTAATTTTTCAACCATCTACGTCTTCTGGAAGCTGTGGTTCCGGGAGCGACTGGAATTATATATTGTGGTTCAGCCGGGGAGGTTAAGCCTATTTTTCGAAGAATTAGTTCTTGTAAGGTTGTCCTTTGTGAAATCTCTCTTTTTATTCGACTAATAGGTGGCGCTAAAATAGAATCTGAAACAGGAAAAGAAAAGAAAGTTAAGTTTTACTTTATGATTTTTTTTTTTTTAAATTAAGATATTCGATAATGTATAACAATGATACCACATGGAAAATGTTTTAGACATTTGACGAAATCAAAATGACTAAATGTATTTGACACTTGTAGCTTGGTTAATGTAAAGCGAATTAATGAAGTTGGGAAGTGAAGTAAGGGAATTATTAATTTGAACTTATGCTTTCATTTTTGCGAGTGAAAAAGTGTAAAAGAAATTATCAAAACGCTTACCCGGTCAAGAAGATGTCTTCTCGAACAAAACGAACAAGGTCCTTTGATTTGATTTTAAAGAAGTGGATTAAAAGAAAAAAAAATCAGAATTGCTTACAAAGGTCTTGTCTATTTTTTAGAGGTTGAAATGGAACAGCTGCAGATTCGTCATCGGCGTTTCCACAACGAGCTTCGCTCATTACTCGCATCGTCTCCGTGTCCAGTCGACCGGTCTCCGGCATGTTGTACGTCCTCTGATACCGTCGGATGGCTTCCTCGACATCAGTCTCGGAACAGGATTCGGTGGAACGGCCATCTTCTGGAACAGCTTCGCTCATATTTCCAATCTGGAATACCACATTCCGCTTTCTTCTGGACCCGCAACGGAGGTATCCGTAGCGCGTGAGTACTTCCTGAAAAGAAAGAACAGTTTGGTTTTAGCGTTGCAAACCACTGAATGGTCAAAGAGTGGAGAAATTGGTAAGGATACACTTTCTCTGCTCAAGTTGAGACTAATCCAATATCGCGACCTTACCATACCCGGCCAAATGTAACAAATTTAATTAAATAAAATAACAACAAAATCGTTCGTTCGTTTGCTGTTAAACACAAATCTACACAATGAGCTATTTCTGTTGTGCCCACCACGGGTATCGAAACCTGATTTTTAACGTAATAAGTTTAATGACTTACAGCTGAGCCACTGGGGGGGGGGGAGGCGACAACAAAATTCAAAGTGCATTTATGAACGTCACAAAAAATAAAAGGAGGCTACAAAAATATCAAAGTTACAGTAATAATTAAAATCTAAAACAAAAACAACAACCTATATTTGATAGTATAATAGATGAGAATTACTTGTCCAAAGGGTAGTAAATTTCACCAGAAGAATATTGAGAAGAGTAAGATTTCTTCAGAAAACTCCGGGCACGGCATATGTGTTTCGAAACAATATTGTACTGCATACATGATAAAATCGTATTTTCTCAAACTCAAGTTACCTGTGTCTTCCTTCTTTCAACAATACGTGAATTCCAATAAAATGCGAATCAATGTGGTGGGTATGTTTAGTAAACTGCTTAGAAAAAATGATGCTCGCTGTCTTTAGGGACGAGCTTAATGTGTTGATTGGAAACGACAGAAAACATTTGAGACATCTGGTAGTTCTGGAAACATCCTGTACTAGGTCCAGATTTTCCTGGATAAAACGTACGATTCTCAGTGCTCCTTGGCGAAATTAAATTATTCTAGAAACAAGAAGTTTTATGATATAATCACTTTAGGTATGGGGATTATCCTGACAGTCATCTTGTACTTTACACTTCCAAGAATTACACACACGACACAATACTATACAGAGAAGAGACTACACAATACTGGACATTAAAGGTAGAACTTACAGAATAATGGTTCAGGTTTTATTGTAGATGTGCAACAAACTATGAAACGCAGCGACAGATATTAAATATTACATTCGTGGACTAAAAAACAAACAAACAAGAAAACAGTTATTTTGTTTACGCTCTAAGGCCATGTTTTTCACTGTCCGTTTATCAACCCTGATGCAGGCAGTGACATCTATCCGTTTTCAGAAATTTAAAAGAAATGCTAGCATTTCAACACGTTCCAAAAATATAAATTAAGATTACATTAACCATATCAGGTTTAGCAAGCTTTACACGTTAATGTTGTTTGTTTGTAGTTAAGCACAAAGCTACACAATGGGCTATCTGTGTTCCGTCCACCATGGGTATCGAAACCAGGTTTCTAGCGTTGCAAGTCCGCAGACATACCGCTGTGCCACTGGGGCGCCGTTAGCTTTGTTTATACTAGGGTTAGAATAAGTACTTAACCCTTAATTAGAGAAGCATTTCATAATTAAAATAAGACATTTCTTACTTCTTTATGTAGGATATGGTTTTCTGCAGAAGCAAATTCAAGATTATTATTAAATCTAATACATTAAGTGTACCAAATTTAGACAGTAGAAATCTTAACCACATCTCTACTGTGAAATGAGCTGCTTTGAACAAGAAGTGACGCAACTACTTTGCCAAGTTTCTCTAATCGACTTATACACCTCCTCACTTCCGATCCATTGTGTAGCTTTGTGCTTAACTTCAAAGTTCAAACAAACAAACAATCCCTGTCATACAACAATTTTCTTGAAGAATGAACTTTGCAAAGATTTTGCTCATTTTTAGAGAGAAAAAAATTGTGCTTGTTTTCAGTGTATTCAGTCTCCTTAAAATAACTTTCAAAACTTTTGAGGTAAGTCATTTAATAAGGTGCATTCAAAAAGAAAGCCCATTATAGACTGAGAGTTCACTATTATTTGTAGACTTTCACTTGATCTGTTGGGCTTTCACCAAGGGCAGAGCTGGGTATGCAATTTGCCGATCAAAAATTAGTCAAATTACACATCTACATAATTTTTCGTTTAGCCATTTTTTGGTATTCTTCCCAAGTTAGGTTTTAATTCAAGGTTCGACATAAAATTGCGTTATGTACTAACAACACAGTTGAACATGTGATAGCCATACAACGCGTTTTTTCAACTATCTAAGTTCAGCACATAAAACTATCTTATCTTATAGCATGGGCTGTTATGTTGAATCAGACTGACTGACATTAAAAATGAGAGAGAGTACTCAGGTTTCGTGACGTGTGCAGCCTTGCGGTTCAGATGAGAGAAGATACAGACAGGGAGGTTTATGTGGTTGTGTACACAACCTTCCAGTCACTAGAGCTTGTGTGAAGATAAACAAATACAGCTCTCAATCAAACAGCTTAGGCCGATTTTCGAACATTTCCGAGAATCACTTTAACCTAATGACCGCTTGCATCATTTTCCCAGAAGGTGGCGCTGAGAAAGTGTACAAGCTAATTCACTATCTCTTTTTAATGAGAGCAGATAAGTTATTAATTTATGAATGACGTAAACTATCAAATACTAAGATTAATGTGATTTATACAAGTTCAGATAACTTCAAAACTATTAAATAACCCCCAGAACAAAGACGACCAAAGAAAACCCGAAACGCATATTTCTTAGTTGAAAAAAGGAAAGTAAAAAGAAACGAAAATGAGAGAAGACTGATAGATAAGTGTTAACACCCATAAATACGTACGTCAGTTATATCTTATTTATATAAAAAGAAGTAAACATCTTCCACTCTTGAAAAGTTTATTTGGCTATAAGTAACGAAAGACGAGCTGCAGGCACAGTTTCACGACGTTGGTGTATATTTGTTTAAAAACAAATTAACGACTAAGAACATGATTATTAAACAAATTAACATTTGGAACATGTTTTGAGTCAGTCTACTTTATATTGTTGACTGTCTTTTCGTATAGTTCTAAATATGATCAAATAATTCATGAAGGTCTTAAAATATTTTTGTTAAACTATCAAACTTCCACTTATTTTCTGTGCTCGCGCACCATTATTCAACGCATTCAAACTTCCAGTTATTCTGTGCTCGCGCACCATTATTCAACGCATTCAAACTTCCCTTTATTTTCTGTGCTCGCGCACCATTATTCAACGCATTCAAACTTCCCTTTATTTTCTGTGCTCGCGCACCATTATTCAACGCATCCAAACTTCCACTTATTTTCTGTGCTCGCGCACCATTATTCAACGCATTCAAACTTCCACTTATTCTGTGCTCGCGCACCATTATTCAATGCATTCACACTTCCACTTATTCTGTGTTCGTGCACCATTATTCAATGCATTCACACTTCCACTTATTTTGTGTTCGTGCACCATTATTCAATGCATTCACACTTCCACTTATTTTGTGTTCGCGCACCATTATTCAATGCATTCACACTTCCACTTATTTTGTGTTTGCGCACCATTATTCAATGCATTCACACTTCCACTT